CTTCAGCGTCATCTACACCAAATGAAGAAAATGCTGCTGATGATGATAGTGAAGATGAGGAGACTGAAGAACAAGTTCCACGAAGAAATCCTCCACGAAATAGGCAACCACCGCCATGTGGAACTCATTCGAGAAGACGACATCGGTGATCCAGTTATATTTAATGTTATTTAAATAATTATATTTCAGAATTTTATGTAATTTGGTTATGTTATTTAAATGTTTCATGGTTGTTACATACATATTTTTAATGTTATTTTTTATTCACATTTAACATTAAATGTTTGATAAATGTTTTTAAAATACAAATTATATTTTCGAAATTTAAAATAAAAATAAAAATAATATTATTCAAATTTAAATTTAAAATATAAATTATAGTATTCGAAATTTAACATTAAATTTCAACTTAATATTCCAATTGTATTCGAAATTAAAAGTTATATTCCAATTATAGTTCACAATACTTAAATTGAAATTAAATTTATCCATACATATGATTTTATCATTAACATATATATTAAAACGTATACATTAAAATCAACTTATGTTGAGTTCATCGATCGACGGAATCAGCCAAGAGGGGGGTGAATTGGCAATTTATTCAATGTCACATTTCAATGCTCATTCCATACAATTTCATTGTCACAATCAACTTATCACTTCACATTTATTCAATTTATCCATAACATTGTATCTAATTTATTCAAACTTCACATAACGTTTTAATTTAAGTTATTCTTAACTTGCTGAACTTTCAAAAGAAGTTAAATTTTGGTTATAATTTACCTGATTTACTGATATATCTAGTGTCCCCGAGGGACATGAGTGACATAATAGGGCAATGATAACATATTCTCTGATGAAATAATGGAAGGCGCGCCCCCGGGAACGCGCCTTCATGTGAATAGTGAAATAATAGGTACTGATATATCTAGTGTCCCCGAGGGACATGAGTGACATAATAGGGCAATGATAACATATTCTCTGATAAAATAATGGAAGGCACGCCCCCGGGAACGCGCCTTCATGTGAATAGTGAAATAATATGTACTGATATATCTAGTGTCCCCGAGGGACATGAGTGACATAATAGAGCAATGATAACATATTCTCTGACAAAATAATGGAAGGCGCGCCCCCGGGAACGCGCCTTCATGTGAATAGTGAAATAATAGGTACTGATATATCTAGTGTCCCCGAGGGACATGAGTGACATAATAGGGCAATGATAACATATTCTCTGACGAAATAATGGAAGGCGCGCCCCCGGGAACGCGCCTTCATGTCCCCTGAGAAATAATAGGTAATGATATATCTAGTGTCCCCGAGGGACATGAGTGACATAATAGGGCGATGATAACATATTCTCTGACGAAATAATGGAAGGCGCGCCCCCGGGAACGCGCCTTCATGTGAATAGTACTCCGATTATAGACACTATTATATGCAACGTATTATAAACTTTCAAAACAAACTTCAGTTCACAATCTTTCAAATTCTCAAATTCCCAAACTCTAAATTCTCAAATTCTCTGAAAATGAGTCGTCTTTCTGCTGTTGTTTTGTATGATGGAGAAATTAAGGAAGCTGAAGAGGGGGTTGTTTTTGAGTCAGATCATTATATCCCCTTAACCTTGAAGAGAAACATCACAATTGAGGAGTTAATCACAAAAATTTCGTTAAAGATTCGTGTAGCAGGCCAGAGAAGACTATCTTCACTTCAGTACAGATTTCCTACTGAACTTTTTCCGCTCACGTATACATCATTTCAGCTTTCAAACGATGATGATGTTTCTATGATGGTTGATGCTCATATGGGGAGTTCACAATCTCTTATTGAAATGTATGCCACTTTTATTGAGGTTCGTGCAACTCGTGCGATTGTGGTTTCTTTCAAGCACTCAAATATCCATGCTCTCATGTCATTGCTTCTTGCTCACATTCGCATTTGGACTACAAAAATTATGTTGATCCCGTATACCAACTTTCACAAGTATTCAAGGTATATGAATTTGAGTTTCCGCCCATAGGAAACGAAAGAGACCCAAATGAGATTCAAACTTGGCTTACAATTGTACCAGATCCATTGCTATTGAGGGACTCAGGTCGTCCAAAATCTACTAGAATACATTGTGATATGGATATTCGGGAGAAGTCAACAGAACAAAAACGATGTGGGCATTGTAGAAACATCGGCACAATAGAAAAAAATGTCCAGCTCTTTTATCATCATATAACCGTTAACTCTTATGTAATTAATATTGTATTTAAATGAATGTTTTTGTTTCTAATAATTTAATGTTATTGCATTTATATAATTTGTCAATGTATGTACACCTAAATAATTTTTTTAACTTTTAAATACATAAATATATTTAATATATTTATTTAATATAATAATTAATATTATTAGTTATAATTTTTTTAAAATATAATAATAATTCCACCTTCTAAGTAGAGAAAAATATTAAATTAAACAAATTAAAAGTTATTAAAAATTTTATGTATACGATGACACATTTCATGTTCTGATTGGAGGATTAAATTTATTAAATTAAATTTTCAATAAGACTAATTTTATAAAATATATAAGTCTTGAAGATTAAATATGTAATTATACTAATTTATTAACTTATGCATCAATATTTTCGTTAAATATTGATATGAGATGACTAGATTGATAACATTTAAATAATTAACTGATAAAATTAATAGATCGATAATCAAAATCAAAAATAATCGAAACTTGATAATTCTTACATTATAATCGAAACATTTTACATAATATATTATTAATTTATAATAATAATAAAAATAAACTATTTATTATAAAACAAAATACGTGTCTGCTGAGTTGGCAAATGCGCGTCCCCGGGGACGCGCCTTCCACACGTGGCATCCAACTCAGCGAAAACACGGGTAAAGCGCGTCCCCGGGGACGCGCCTTTGCCAACTCAGCAGAAAGAGTGCTACTTCTAGAAATATTGGTCAAACAGTGTCAGAAAGGTAAAATTAAAAGCAAACGGTATCAGTTATGTAATTTAGCCGGATCTTTCCCTCTTTTTTATCTTCTCACTTTGACCAAAAACAATCATATCTCTCACGTTTTCTATTTCTCTCACATAACAACATCGGTAACGATTGTTATCTCACTGAAGGTTACTTTTCACAAATTAAAGGGATGAGTGGAAAATCGCCAATGACCATGAAGATTAAATTGTTCTAATCAACAATTATATTTTAAAATTATATTAAAAATGAGAGTACAATAATATTATAAAAATAAAAATTTCTGTTAATGTGAAAGTTAAATGAAAACAACCCGTATAGAACCAAAAGAGTAGTTTGATTACTGTTTCCATGAAAATTCAAACGCTTAATCCAGGTTTGTAAAAAGAGCATGTTTCTTGGTCAATGGCCACCACATGAAGAAACTTCAATGAAAATTCAGAGTTCATCAACCTTTTTGATTTGACATTGACTTTTACTAACAAGCCCTCAAATTCCCACCTTTCCGAAATTCAACCCTACTTTCCTTTGTGGCTAAGGGAAACCTCTCTAACATATATAAAATTTTATGTTAGAGAATATGATTTTAAAAAATCAAGAGTGTAAAATTAGATTATCAATAAAAAATTAAAAAATATATCTAAACTATATAAGAGTTTGAAATTTTCATAAAGTTCGATCTCATCGTAACACCCATCAGTCCATCCCAGCCTACACAATCCTAATGGAGCAAGCAAATGGATTTTCTTTTTCCTCCTAAATTTGGCCTGTTGGGAAATTAGGATCAAGTTCATTGTATTTGTATTTGTACAGATTAAATTATTAGGATTAAGTTCATTGTATCTGTGATTAACTTCATACAAACATCTGTAGGAACGTGCTGCCTCGACCAACCAGGTTACCTCGTTCTGCAATTTATGATCACCAAAAGTACTTACAAGAGCAAGATCCATTCTTAAAATGGTGGAACCTGATGGCATCCCTGACTATGATTTCTCGACTGTAAATTTCGGATAGATGCTTAAAGGCCGAGTGACAGTCTCCACAAACTCAAAGATTCTTCATTATTCTTATAGTTTGTCTGGTGCGGAGTTGACTAACCCGAATGCCAATGCCAATTTCTCACTGTGATAACACAACATTTTCCTTCTCTTCTTCATCTATATCAAACACTACTTGCGCTGTATTGGGAACATACCCTGCAGATCTAAGACGCATTGCCATATCTTAGAGCATGGATTCAATCCTTTGTCTTGCAAGTGAGACTTGTCACTAGCCAAAAACCGATGTATAGTTCCCCGAAACTCGATATAGCTCCACTCGGGAGGCTTTTGGATGCCTCTAGCTTCCATCACCTTCCTCACTCTCTCAGCTTGTTCCCATTTGTTGGTATTGGCAAGCATGTTGGACAACAAAATGTAATGAGCTCCGTGATCAGGTTCTAGTTCGATAAGTTTTTGGCAAGCAACTTCACCGATCTTAACGTTTCCATGGAGTTTACAAGCACCCATTAAAGCTCTCCATATTACTGAGTTTGCCTCAAATGGCATACTTTGAATTAAATCATAAGCTTCATCCAAGCAACTATCTCTGCCAAGGAGGTCAACCATGCAACCATAATGTTCCTTATGTGGTTTAATACCATAGACATCTGACATCAATCTAAATAACTCTTTGCCCTCTTCAATTAGGCCACTGTGACTGCAAGCAGATAAAACTGCCACAAAGGTAACACTATATGGTTTCAGCCCTATTGATTCCATTTCCCCGAAACATCTAAAGCAGACTCACCAAGCCCGTGCTGAGCTAGACCGGAGATCGTAGAATTGAAAAGTGAAACAGTCCTTAAACCCTTTGGAATGCTGTGAAACATATGAAGAGCAGAATCTATCTTTCCACACTTCGAATACATATCGACTAACGCGGTTGAAACAATAATGTTTTGGCTGCATAACTCACCCTCAATATACCTACTACGAAACCTCTCACCTAAACTAAGTGCTCCAACTCTGGCACAGGCTGAAAGAACAGTAGCCATAGTACATTCGTCGGATCGTATTCCCAAATCTTCCATCTGCTTAAAAAGCTCCAATGCTTCGCTGTACTGTACTGCAAATAACCACTAATCATAGCCGTCCAACAGATTAGATCCCGTTGCTCCATCTGATCAAACATTTTCCTAGCAGCCTCAGTTTCTCCACATCGAGCATATCCCGATACCAGGGAACTCCAAGCTGCGGTACTTTTGTTACTTGGCATTGAACTGAACACCCTCTCAGCCAAATCCATCAACCCGGATTTCGCATACGAATGAAGAATAGCAGTCAGTACATTAGCGTCAAGACAACGCAGGTTCCTATAGACAAAACCATGAATATCTTTTCCTATCCTATGATCATTCAATGATGAAAATGCAGACAACAGGGCAACAAAAGTGAACCCATCAGGCAGAATACCCGAATCTTGCATTTTTCTGAATAGATGCAGAGCACCCCCTGGTTGGCCCACCGAACTGTACCCATTTATCATAGTATTATAAGAAACAAGGTCTCTAACAAGACTTTCTTCAAACACGATCTGAGCATCATTCAAATGTCTGAAAACCAAGTAAAAAAGCATCAAAGCATTCCCAACAAAAGGATCCAATTCAAACCCAAATTTTATCACATGACCATGAACTTGAACACCTGGTTTAAGGGTCGATAGTCTTGCACACGAGTTGAGTAAAAATGGGTAAGTGAAGTAGTTTGGAGATCGGTTTACTTGGTGGAGCATGTAGGAGTAGAAGCCAAGTGCTTTTTCAGGGCATTTACTATGGGAAAATCCCCTTATCATGGTGTTATACACGAACTGATTTGGATTTTGAATTTGGAAGAAGAGAATCTGAGAGTACTTAGTACCGTCTTCGGAAGGCAAAGAAAGAGATGACTCGGCTGATGGGGAAGACATGGTGTTGGAAGCCATTGAGGATTATTTGAGCATAAACTTGAAATGCTTATTGTAGACACTAATTTTTTTATTTTTAAATTATTATTATTATTATTATTATTATTATTATTATTATTTATTATTATTATTATTATGAAATAAAAAAATATATTACAGATTCAATTACAATCTAAGACCCAGATTAAATTCAGGTCCAACCAGAATCGACCTAAGATTAACCTTAATGTATTTAGGGTTTGTATCATTTCCAGCTCTAGCTGGCTCAGCTCACAGTCGTTGGATCTGGCCTTGATCCAACGGTCACGGATGAACTAGAAAAAAACCCTAGGGTTATGATACCCTAGGGACCACGCGGTCGTCGCCTCTGCTACCACCAACCGTTATCGACGCTCCACTGCCACGACGCATCGCTAAAGACTCCAGTAGTTGCCACGACGCCTCGCCCACATTGAAGCTCTATGGTGAGTCACCACCATAGATATGGTGACTCACTGAAATGTCACCTTTGTGACCGGTCCGAAGCTAATACCGGGGTGGCTATAAAGTCTCATCGCACCTGTAAAGAAAAGGAGGACGGAGCAAGAACCACGAAAACAACGAGGGAATACCAAACAGAAAACAAGGAAAAAAAGAGAGATATGAACCCACAGCAACCATCGACAAAAAACAAAAAAGAAAGAGAGAAAAAATGAGGAAGAAACTTACCACCGAGGAGCTTCCAAACCACCGTGGAACCACCAGAGAACCGAAGAGTCGAAGGTAAAAAAGGCTAGATCCACGAAGTTTGGTAGAGTTTTAGGTTAAGATAATCTCGGATTTGGCTTTAGGGTAAATGGAGCTTTAATTTGGGGTAGGTTTGAAATTTTCGGCCACCGGCGATGGTGATCCACCAACGAGAGAAAACGAGAGCTTCTCTCTCTTTAGAGAGAGAAGCAAAATAGAGAATGAGAGAAAAATGGCCTTTAGGCCGGTTTAAAAGGGTTTAAATACCTTCCCCCATACGACGCCGTTTAGGGGAGGGGTGTCTCTGTAATTCCCCTTTTGGGAAAATCATATCCGCAGCCATTCATAGTTTCGTAACCTTCCATTTTGGTCACTCGTATCATACTTTTAATTATTTAAATTTTGTTCTTACATTTTATTTTATTATATTTTAGTCCCTAATATATACATGTTTATATGTTTAGGGTAAATACCTATTTAAGTCCCTTATAATTTTATTAATTTTATGTTAATCTCGTATTAATATTTATGGATAAATTACACTGTTAATGTCTAAATTTATAATACTTCGAATTAGAACTTTTAATTTTAATATGTTATATTTTAATCCTTGATATGTTTATAATTTTCATTTTTGACAATAAACTTAATATATTTTGCATTTTAATTTTATAAATTTAATTTCTTTTATTTTGATCATTATTTATTTGCAATATTATTTTATTATTACTTTTGATATATTTAAATTGTTACTTTCATTATTATTTTATTACTATTTTCATATTAGTCATATAAATATATATGTATATTTGTTTAAATAATAATATTTATTTATTTTTTAATATTAAGAAAGGGCAGTCTTAATATAACTAGATGTCTTATTCTGGTATTTTAAATAAATAAAAATTATATATATTTTTATTTTATTTTATTTTATTTAAATTATTTTTTAGAAAAATTATCACATTTTCAATATTTATTTATTTTTTAATATTAAGAAAGGGCGGTCTTATAATAACTAGACGTCCTATTCTGATATTTTAAAAATAAATAAATATCTTGCTTATAAATGTATATATATTTACTTAGTTTTTATTATTTTTTAGAAAAATTATTATATTCTTATTATCATTTATTTATTTATTAATATTAAAGAAAAGACAGTCTTAAAAGAAACTAGATGTCATTTTCTAATATTTTTAAATAAATAAATACTTTATTTATAATTTATAAATATTATTTTAAATATTTTTCTTCCTTATTATCCAATTGAATATAAAAAGATTATAAATTAAATTTATATTTGAATTCTTAAATTCTACTACTAGAGACAATCTATAATCGACAAGGACCAATTTTGGGCGTTGTGGGGGTCCTATCCTTCCCCAAATGTAACTGACCACGAATCCCTTTTTATTATTAAAAAGAACAAATTTTTGGTTAAAACGCATACCAATTTATCTTTTAACTGATGTTTTCTTAAAAACTCTTTTAAAAGATAATTTTTAGGTATTCGACCTACCTGACCCAAAAGGCCGATGGTGACTCCCAAAACATTTCAATAAAAACCATTCATTTATTCACATTACTTTTCCTGCCAAGTAAAAATTCGTGCTCAGACGAAAACCGATTACGACAGCTTGGCGACTCTGCTGGGGACCTTGGTCAACCTAAGTCGATTATATATTGTCTCTATTGTTAGAAATTAAGAATTCAATTTTATTTAATTTACGATTCTTTTGATTTCTTTCAATTTATTTTATACTATTGTATATTAATATTTTTTTAGATATTAATTTTTGTGTGAACATTTCTCCTCACACACAACACTTGCATTGCATAACATAAGTTTTATAATAAAGTTTGTCCCTTTTAAGTGGGAGTGAAAGCGACGTCTTCGTGAGAATTTATTCTCCGTGTCAGACCTAGCAAGTAACTTTCGGGGTTCATATGCTCTATGTCTTCATGAGAATTTATTCTCCGTGTCAAGCATAGAGAAATGTGTCCACTCGAATTGAACTTGATCCGCTTAAATGGACCATGATTGAGGGTTTGACAGCCCAAGGGGGCACCAACAAGGACAGTTCGAGTACCTTTACTCCTAGAACCAAACCCTGTATATAATAAACCTTAGAAATTCACCCGATCTAAGACATTACTGATACTCTGTCCGTAGGTGTACACAAAGGAGAAATAAGCTTTAGCTTTTAATTTATTTGATTTTTTTCTTTATCCTAAATAAATGCATGCGAACTAGAAATCATGCAGTTAGGTTAATTTTTCCAAACAAAGCATGGAACTATAAAGCATGAGGTTAGGATATATTATATACCATGATAGATAGAATCGTTTCTTTCTATTAGTTGGTACTAACCATTTTATTTTTTATTGTTATATATTTTGTAGATACATCGTGTTTTGTTCTAATTTGTTTATATTGATTTATTTTGTCTGCATTGCATGATCATGACATAACCAAAAGGTGTTGACTTGAAAGATTATTCATCAAATTGAAAAGAATTCATAAATGGACAAAAAGTTTTATGATCAAGCAAACTATGACGCAGCTAAGGAAAGACATCCTGAGGGAATTCCAAAGATAGAGGAGAGCTACGCACCCAAAGATCGTATGCCCATTGAAGAGCAAAAGGAGATACGAGAAATAAGAGAATAGATGTCCAAGATGATGGGTAGAATATCTATTTTGGCTAAAGGAAAAGAGATTCCTGCACAAAAAGAAAGAGAGCTCAATGAAGATAATCATGTAATTTTAGATATGCAAAGGACTTCTGATTTTAACCAATTTGAGAAATTACAGACAGTCAACATTCGTATTCACAAACTGTCTGGAGATACCAAAGAAATGGTGATAACTATAAAAGTTCCCAAAGATGAGAAAAATCATGTAATCTAAAATCGTCGAAGTTTAGTGTGCTCTCGACGTCTAAAACTCAGGTTCAATCCAAGACAAAAAGCGGTTCTCATTTTGATGCTATCCATATATCATATAAAGAGTTGTATGAAAAGCTACTTGAAGCGCGAGAAGTGGTTCCATACTACATGAAACCGTTCCAACCTCCGTATCCGCATTGGTATGACATCAACGTTTATTGTGAATATCATACCATAGCTCAAGGACATACCATTGAGAATTGTCTTGCTTTCAAATGTCGAGTCCAAAGTCTTTTGAATCATGGAACCTTACAATTTATGATAAATGATCGACCTAGTTTGGTAACTGAATGTCGTGCTAGATTAATACCAAAAATATTCAAAGGTAAGAGCATCAGTAGGGGTGTCCAGAAAGAAGAAGATTTGTTGAGGTATGAGGCTCAAATACGTCATTTAAAGATTGAAAACGATAAATTGAGCACCAAAATGGAAACCATCCATGAAGATTTTCAGAAGGTCAGTCAAGCCTTTCAAAATGTTGGTATAGGAAACACCCCAGAAGAGTGGATAACAGGGGTCACTAAACTGAAAAAGAAATGTAACATACATGAAGGTCGAGCCAAGAAGTTTTCTCATGATTTAAGAGTTGAAGAAGAAAGACTCAATACAACTGTCATTGAATCGAGAAAATATCAAGTCGACAATCAAAGGTTGAATAGTGCTATGACCAATATGGAAGCATCATATCAGATCCATCAACATAATATTGATACTGAATTAAAAGCCTCTAGAGCTAAGAACAAGATATTGAAGAAATGTTTAGATGATTATGGGGATCTTGTACGAGAACTTTTTGAACATAAAGATTCTCTCACGAGAAAGAATGAGCAACATTGTTTAAAACTCCAAGAATTAACACAGAAGATTAAGGAAAAAGACAATATCATGAAGGAAGTTATTGTTCAAACAAGTAATATGGCTCATAAGTTGGTAGACTTAGCTAGTTTCACAAGAGAATTAAGGCAGATTAATAACTCCACACCTGAGCATGAGTGGAAGTTAATTTGAATTTTAAGGGAAATAGAGAAATTAAGAGTGAAAGTTATCCCCTACATGTAAAAGTTTTATTTGATGCCCCAAAACTTTTGTGTTCAATGAAATCTGTTTTAAGATGATCACTCTTGAGTAACACCTTTTTCATACATGCATTTGCATCTTTGCATCTTTGCATTATCATTTTACATCCACGTTTTTGCATTTGCATTTACATTTGCATCTTTGTGTTTTCATTTTGCATTTGTACTTTTATATTTGCCGTCATATTGTACAGTTTGCATTCCCATTTTTTACATTTTCGCATTTACATTACAGTTTTATTTAAGTATTGTTATATACATTAA